AAAGAAAGAATAGAACAAAAATAAACTAAGACCGTGCTACCAACCATAAAATTCATAAAAAAAATAGAATACAAAATATTTTTAAAAAGCTGTCGAATGACACACCTTTATGGAGAAGCAAAATAAGAGCCGATCCCAACAAAAAGAAAACAAAAATATAACTCTTGAAAGAACGTAAAAACAGTCCAACAACTTACAAAAAAATGGCTAAAAGATACAAAAACAAATAAAAAATTATCTTAAAATAAAGTACAAAAAAAGAAAGAAAGAAAAGAAATCAGAAAAGAAATCAGAAAAGAAAACAAGATCGTACGAGATGACAGAGAGAAGTGTTCGAATTTGTGACGACATATTGGTCACTTTTTTTTTTTCTGAATAGCTTGTTTAGGGAATGAGAACCCTGCAGGTGACAGAATGGTGTCCTCTGTTTTGTCATTTATCTTTGCAGACATTGGTATCATCCATGTCTCCCACGCATCTCTCGATTTTTTCTCCATAGTGCAGTTCTTTGTCGCTTTTCCTTCTAGACTTTTTGCTTCTCTCTCGTCGACGCCAGATCTTTCCTTTGCGGGTCTGCTGACTTGTGTCCCTTTTATGCACCTGCTGGTATGATACAGACAACCACAAATTCTAGACGACTAAATCAACGCTAGGTATCGTCAGGTATGAACGGTGAAAGAAAAGAAGACAGCAAAGGAAAAGATATAAGAAGACAGAAAAAGTGAAGGCGAGAAAGATAGGGATGAAAAATAGTGACAATATTGAGAGCAATGAGAAAAGATGGAAAGAAATAAAAGGAAGAGGAAAGGACAAGAAAAAGAAAGAAAGAAAAATCAAGTTTGGTAAAGAGAGAGAAACAGGAACTCCTCTAAAAAGAAATAAAAAATAATCTCTTTCTCTCTCTCACTGTCTTTCTCTTTCTCTGTCTGTCTCTATTTTATATTTCATTTATATATATATATATATATATATATATATATATATATATATATATATATTGACTTTTATGTATATATACTCGACTCTCCCAATATTCGAATTCGACGTATGAGGGTCAAGCAGACCAGTTGCCATCCAAGGCTATAGAACTCAATTAAGGTATCTCACTAAGAGAAGGGGAAACTCTGGTGTAACACCTTGCCAGAAACTAGTGATGTTGACTTAGACAAGTCAACATTACTGGATGCTGTTTTCAGTACATGATGTTCTTGCGTAGAAAGTGGTATCGACCCACTGCAACGTCTTCTTCCTGTTTAAACATTTCACGTACTGACATTACTTGATATTGTAAGTCACAATTGTGTCTTGCAACGATATCTTGGATTGTTGATCATATTCGACAACGAGGTGATTGCCATCAGGTGACAACGAGGTGACTGCCATCAAGTGACAGCTCATCTAGTGAAATATCGATTAGATATTTACAAACATCACAGAGCATTTTGAAAACAACGGACTGAAAACAGAATTGAAAACCTGTTTCTTCTTTGCTATCTATCTATCTATCTATCTATCTATCTATCTATCTATCTATCTATAAGAAGACACTAAGAAGTTCTCGGGATGATTCACTTCCCAAAATTTGACCGATCTGTGTTAAGCACTAGATCTATCTGATGAATAAGGGAAGATTATGTGGTACCAGTTTTCTAACTGAAGAATATCTGCTCGCCTTAAAAAGCTATTACTTACTTGCTGCCGTTATACTGTTGTCCTCGTAAAATTCACATGATATAAAATACCACACGATCTAAATGCATCTTTCTAGCTGTTGTTTGTCGACTCGGCCTGTCTTTTTCGTTCTCGCTTTCTTACTCTATTTCTGTTTTTTATTTTTTATTTCTGACAATTTTCTCCTGACAGGAATCGAACGTATTCTCTCTGGAAGACCCGGATGTGCTCCAACCCCATCTCCAGCTCAGAAGAACGCTGTTTTGGCCAATATCGATTCTTCCACGCTAGAACTTCCCGAAGGTAATCCCGTTTTTTTTTTGTTCAAAATTATGCTAAGAAGATATGTACGTATAAAAACAAACCAAAACGCAATTGTTGATATTTTCGTTCAAAGCTTGGAATCTTGACTTTCAATGGCGAGCACCAGGAACTAAGTACTTTTATTTTTAGTATTTTTAGCAAGTACTTTTATTTTTAGTATTTTTAGCAAGTACTTTTATTTTTAGTATTTTTAGCACTATATATTTCGAAAGGTAAATAATAAATTTTAACAATTAAAAAAAAATTAAAATACTCCATTCTACAAACAAATGAGAAAAAAAGAATTACTGATGAATATAGCGTACTGGATTAACCAAAATGCCCGCTAAGTGTTTCTCGTTAGAGGACTTTAGGAGACTGAGTTTAAACTGATTTCTTTCAATAATACCGAGTTGACTGTATTGTGACAGTGTCCTTAATTTTTCTATTTTCAAAATTGTCATATTTTGGCTTATTGTTTCTAACAATGAAGATGAACGGAAATAAACGACATTGTTGGCATATTCCTTTTTTTTTTTTTTGGTTATCAGTAGTAATCGACAAAAAAGGTAAGTGCTTAAATACCTCATGAGTTTTAATGACTTTGTTAACTCGGAACATTTATAAGCCAGTTTCCTTCTAATTTGCCAAGGGATTTCAATGAATAAACACAGGTATTCTTTTAAAAAAAAGACCTAATGTTATATACTTTCTTAATGTTTTAAAGGGATTTATCTATTATCGAAATTGGCTGAATGTTTGCGTGTTCTTCTAATACAGTGTAACCCGGATATAAGAGAGTTGACGGGACCAGAGAAAATCTCTCTTATATCCGGGTTACACTGTACTTTCAAAGTTAATAGCTATTTTTCAGAGCAGAACGTTTGAATAAACTGTCATATTTCTGATCTAAATTTCATCTTCTGCAGTTTAAAAAAAATATAATCATTTCAAAAGAAAGGTTTAATTTAATTTTTTCGTTAAAATATTATTCGGTTATTATTGTCTCATTAAGGGTCTAGAGATTTTTTTTTTGATAAAAATATTTTGATATGTAACTACATACGATAAATGTATACTAACAAATTTTCATTAAATGACCAGATATAGAAATCTGTGTGCCATAAATGCTATTAATTATTTATTAAAACTTTTCAGCAAAAAACAAACAACAACAAAAAAAAAAAAAACCCAAAAAACGGTTTACAACTGTGTATTTACTCTCCAATTTTTAAAATAGTGGACTGGGAAATTTTTCACACTACTAATATATTAGTTTCAGTCATAGGCACTTGGGTTACAGACACACAAATGATTTGTTTCTCGTTGTGTATTCGACTATAATACTTTGTGTCGAACTTGTAAACTGGTAAATGTTTGCATAATCTGCAATTGGATGCAGTCATTCTAGAGAAATATTTAACGTGTTGCTCTTGTAAACTGTTCATCGTTTGTTCGTTGATTATTGGGTGCCAGTTATTTTTGTTTCTCTTTGTTTCAAATTGTGCATTATCTCTTGATAATCATATCTATTGGATGTAATTGTAATTCAAAGTCTTTTGATTACCTTCTGTTCAAGAAGTGTAGCATGCTGGGTACACGTGTTTGGTGTAAGTATTCGTTTTCTCACACCTGTGACTCCTCTAATGAACAGAATTCTCAAGTTGAATTTGCTCCTTGTTGGAAAGAGTGGTCACCCTTCTCCCCAAATACTGCGGTAACCGAGCTGATGGTGCCTTGAAAGTGTCTATCGCACAATATTTGTTTTAATCTGCTATAAAAAGGCAAAGGAAAGTGAGTGAAAGAGAAAGGAAGTATAGAAGAAGTAAAATATTTTTAACAGAAACAGTAAGAGAAATAAACATTTAGCAAATTAAATGCTTAGCGAGAAACAGAAGAACTTACTGGGGCGGGGGAGATAAAATCTGTCTAGAGTTGTTTCTGAGAAAGAAGATAGAGTAAGAGTAGGTGATATGTATGGATGTATATTTAATCCACTAGTTTTGTATATGAACAGCAATTCATCTCTAATACATGCTTCATTGAAAAGAACTAATTAATTTTTTATTGCGTTTTTCTTGTATGAGAACAAAAGATGATTTGTGTTTTGGACATAATATATAAAGAAAATTTCAAAATGATTGTTCGTTCTGAATGCTTTCGACTATTCTATTAGCCATCTTCAAGGATTTGGCTTCTTCTATCGCAAATGGACCATCGGTCACTGATACTCAAACACGTTTTTAATTCCATAACAAGGGTCAGTACGTTATGACCATGTTCGTAGTTGATGGAAGTTTTTGTATGATTAGGGCTTCTATTATTTTTACACATTTTTTTCACTGTTAGAGGCGTGTATTATATCTCTTTTCGATAATTATTTGATGCATAAAAGTTGGTATGTTTTCAAGTTGATTTAAATAGGTTCGTATAGGGCTATGATCGGAGAGATGTAAAGTCAGCCGTCTGGAAAAACAGGTAGTGGTGTAATTCTATGACATAATTATTCCTAAATTGGCCTTTTTCGGAAACATAGCTACCTTTGGAGTATTTGAACTCAAAAATAAAGTTGGACTTGTACAGTTTTGATTTCGCTGGAGAATTGTTGCTGAAGATAAGGTTGACCGTTACAGTAAATAATTCATTTCATTTTCTTAGTATGTTCAACTGGAGAGATGCTCCTTTTTTTTTAAATAATATAACTCGTCTTGAATGTAATTACGCATCTGGTTTAGATAAAATATACAAATAGTATTAGTAGTATTTCTATGAACTTAATTACTACTGCTTAAATTCGAGAGAAACAATTTAACTGTCTATAATGTTTGGGAAACTGTTATTGACACGCGTTTATTTTATGCTATTAAGTTCTTTAACAAACAACGTGTGAGATCTCGTGCGCTTTTGTTAGGATATTTTTTTTAGTGCTAATTAGAATCTAAGTGAACATTCGCTATTATAATTAGTAGAAGATTGTACTTATGTTTCTTTTTTATATAGTGAAGTAGTAAAAGTAATATAATTAG